CCCATTCTCCCACTACCCCCATAGAATTCCCCACACCCATCCCACCACACATAACTTCCCTTTCCCCCCACCTGTCTCCCCTCACATCACGTACTCAAATCTCCTACCCCTGCAGCCCTAAAAACCGAATCACTCCCCGTTATACCAGCACTTAGAATCCCCCCCCCCCCCCCACTCACACACTCCGACCTTACAGAACTTTCTCATTTCCCCACCCCTCCAGCCTCACCAGCCCCCCCCCCCCTTCTCGCCACACATAACTTACTATCCGCCCTCCACCACCCCCATCCGAAATGAAATAACTAATTTTACCAAGTGACGTAACTTCCTTGCCCCACCCTACCAAACCTCGCAGTCCATTCCCCAGGTAACCTCTCTAGCCTTAAATCAATTCCTTTTTTATCACCCATCTTACATTTTAAACGGTCGCATTTCTTGTATAACAATCCATCATTTTAACGTTTTTATAACTCTAAAGTATTCCATATATGGCGAAATAATTGCCACTTCAATTCTCCTAAAAACAATAAAATATTACGTTTTTCGCTTTTAATTTTAATAATGGTTCTTAAACTCTATTTTGGTTGTAATTTGTGTAAACATATCTGGCATACGAAGGCTATATTTTCCCATTAAAAAAATTAAAGAAGCTTGTTTGTGTTGCCATTAGGCCGTAGACAGAAATTATTCAATGATATTAATACTTAATAACCTAGATATTAATGAGTCATGCTCATGTAATTTTTAATTTATAAAGGTTTATTTTGCTTTAATTATAAATTATTTTATACCTGTTTTTTTTAAATGTACGCTAGTTATGACGTACGTGCCTAATGTTTTTCTCTTCTGGTCAAACATTAAAATAACATTAAGGTTATAATTAAACTAATCAAAGACATATTTTTTAACAAAATGCCTTATACGTAATAACGTCTTTTTAATGAATGATAATCATCGTGTTTTTATGCGATTGTCTTCGTTGCAGTGGCGGAGATAGGGGAGGGTGGAAGTCGATGTCTTCCATGAGTCAGTAGCGTAGCCAGGATCGTCTCATTTGGGGGGGGGGGGGATTCAAATTTTTAACCGGGGACAAGCAAAATTTCGATTTGCACCCCCCCCCCTCAAACTTTCGATTTGCACCCCCCCCCCCCTCTCAAACTTTCGATTTGCACACCCCCCCCCCTCAAACTTTCGATTTACACCCCCCTCATACTTTATATATCTATACCGAGGGGTCTATGGGGGGGGGAGTATGACCCCCCCTAACCCCCTTGCCTACACCACTGCCATGAGTTGTACTCTTCTCCCCATCCCTCTGAAACTTAAGTGGGGCTACTAAAGGCTGTTATAGACCATTGGAGAAGGACAGGACAGAAGACTATGACAGTGAAATTAATAAGGAGGAAGTGGCGCTGGGTGGGGGACACACTGCGAAAGACTCACCCAAACGTGACACAAGTGGGTTGAGTTGAACCCACAAGGAAAACGAAAGAGAGGGCGCCCAAGACAGACTTGGAGATGGAGTCTTCTTGAAGAACTAAAGACAGCAGGGATTTCTTGGGAGATTGCAAAATTAACAACCAGGGACCCGATAAAAAGGAAGGTTATGGTTGAGGCCCTATTCCACAAGGAGCAATGAGGATTAAGTAAGTAAGTACTAAATGTTAAGTCAGTGTCTTAATAAGGGATATTGTACCTAATACACAACCGCCAGGCTTCGATTGCCAGAGTTTCTTCCAGGCATCTCTTCGGTGGAGGGGGGGGGGGGGCGAAGAAAGTCTACCCCCTCCCGCCCGAACGAAATGGAATTTATATATAAAATATATACTTTTAAGTAAACGAGCCGACCGCGGCATATCATACGCCGCTATTTAGTTGTTGTTTTTTTCTACTTTTCAGTTATTCATAATTTGTGAATTCGACACTACCAACGCTGCCACTGAAAATATTTCTTTAAAACACTATAAGTAGCCAGTACGACGTCCCTGAGCCCACCCAGCTCTGATGGGTACCTGTCACACATTAGGGAAAGTCGGCTAGGCATAGTGCTGGCCACACTATTCCTTCATATGTCGAGGTCTCTGAATAGGTGAACTCAATTTCACCCACCCCATGGACCTGCATGGAGGGAAGGAAGATAGGTGACTAACATTGAGAGTAGTTTATTGGCAGCCACTAAGTGGATAGCTGGTTGTGGTAAATATGTTAATTTCCCATTACGAACCTGACGACCATGAGGTAGATGAAGTAGAGTTCCCATGTCTCTGTGACCTCGGCATGTGAAGGGATAGTTTTGTCAACAGTATGCCCAGCCTCCTTTACCTTCTCTAACGTGAGCTAGGTACCCACCAGAGTGTTGAGTGGACTCGTACTACTGACTTGAACCCGGATTCGAACTCAAGACTTGGGTTAGCATTCTAGCGCTCTACCGCTAGGCCATTATTTCCACAACTTGTTGGGTTCAACTGTTTAAACTGGTGTTTGTTTTTTCGGTCGCTCCTCGCTACTTAGCAGAAGAAGAAAGCAACACAATATCCACTGTTGATGAACTCGTTCACGTGACCTCACCAGCATCGAATCGTTTCCCCTTTGTAACGGTGCACGAATCACCCTTCCCCTCCTCTTTTCTAACGCCGTGTTTACCTGGCATGAAGGGCAAGGCTACGATTACCTGGCCACAATTTACCTCGCGTAACCCACCAGGCAACCGCTAGGCGAGGCGAAAGACAACAAAAGGACTAATTGTTGTGAGCTATTTTTTATACCCAGCCGTAACCGACATTGTTTAGCTCAGGGGAGAAAATCTTCCCACGCATTATTTATTTGACAAGGGGACACAAATCTTCTATCTTCAACTTATATTGACAAGCTGGCCCGTACGCTAATGAATATAAAAACAAAGCGGTAAAGAAACTTAATTCTTAATTTATGGAATTTGTCTAATGTAAATGTGACTAGAGAACTCGATACAAACAGCAATAATTTTATTCTTTTTGTTGTAAACAAAGCAGTAGGCCTATAATAGTTTATTTTTGCTTTTCATATTTTATTTAATTTACTATGGAAATCATTGATGTGTAGCCTACTACTTTTTACTTTCTCGTATATACGAAGTATAGAGAAAGTGTTGTAATCGTGCAAAAAAAAATCGAATTTTTACAAATCTCTACGTTTTACACCTCATTGATACGGAAAAACATAATTTTGCAATCTTGTCCGTATGTCTGTGTGTCTGCGTGTCTGTCTGTCTGTCCGTGTGTAAACACGATAACTTTAGTACCGTTACAGCTAGGTTGATGAAATTTCATATATAAGTATTTTATCAAAATCGTAGATCCGTATCAACTTTTGAGCGATTTCCGATAACCGGAAGTGGTACTTTTCCTACTTTGAATTTTTCAAAGGCCTATAACTTGAGTACTATTTCAGATAGATAAATGAAATTTCACATGTAAGTAAAAGATCTAATTCTCTACCTTCTGTTAAATTTTGAGTAATTTCCGTTGACTGGAAGTAGTAATTTACGCTACTTCCGATTTCTCAAAAAACTAATGTAAATTTTAAAAGTAGTAATAATATTGCGCACTATTATGCGCTTTTTTATTTGGCGTTCACTTGGTGTGCAATTAATTTGTCTACGAGATTTTATTCTATTTTTAAAACTTTAAGTATTTAAAATAGATTAAAAATCATGTCTATAGCCCGAGTTCCCATCCCCTTTTATTTTATATAAGAATATTCGAGAAAGTTTAGGGGAGATCACTCCCGGTTTATTTAACTTATATGTCTGTTGTAAATAGCATTAATGTAGTTAATCAGTGTCACTATGTTCTGTTCTCGGTTGTGGCAAGTCCTACCGACCCTCCCCCCCCCCTCCACCGCCACCCTCCACCTTTACTCAAAACGCCTAAATGCCAGAGTGCTATCAAGCATCTCTTCTGAAATAGAATATATATCTATATATCAGTAGACCGTCTAATTTGGTAATTTAACCTATTTCATTGCAAACTATGTATCTTAGAAAAAGATCCAAACTTACTTCTGACTTGTTATAGTCGAGTTTTAAAAATGTTTTATTTTTCATTTCTATTAATTTTTAAAAATTGCAAGTGTGTCAGAAGTTTATGAAATACGGCAGCTTGATATTTGTAATAGTATTTCATGTTCTATTTATTCGTCTTGAATAAATCCCATCGTTGTGCTATTGTTTATTATGCCTTATTTAAATAATAATTAAGAGTAGAAATAGCCTTTTAAATTGCTTACTACAAAACTATTTAAAGGAGCTTTACGGGCATCCCTATTAGGCTACTTAAAGAAGAGCAATAAGGCACGGAACTGTTGTAGTAGATCTTTTTGCTTCTTTACAAAATCACTATCAAGGTACAAGAAAAAAATTTGGGTCGGATTTTTGCCTCCATGAATGACCTGGGCCTTCCTGCATTGCGGGGTCTGGCTGCTTCGTACTTCTGACTTTAACCCACTCCCCCTTTCCTCTGTTACAATTGGTTCTAGGAGGACGATATATGTTTTAAAAAAAAAACACTGCCAAAATGTCGAGTCCAATTTTCTTGCAGCAGTAGGAGTTAAGATTTATGAATAAAAAGGGACGTAACTGTAAACACTTATAAGAGATTCTAGTTCTAGAATTAAAACCCTTATTTGCTCCCTTTATTTTTCACTCAAATTCAAAACAAGAAATGTTTTTCCACGTTATTTTTACAAATGAGTACCAAAACTACTCTCAGTTTCACAAGCACTTAATTAGCTTACCAAAACGCCAAAATCGATATTAGTCAGATTAAAAAAAATCAACCGTATTTTGTTTGAAAAATACTTATTTTAAAACATAAAATGTGTTTTTACTTTTCTTTTTAACTTAAGTTATTGTTTGTACAATGTTTTTTTTTCACAGTTGTGGCAATTGATCTTAAAAAAGTAGTTAATTTCTATTTTAGCAGTACTTTTTAAAATAAAGAAATAAAACAACACAATCTTAATCAGAGTTTGAAGTTTATAATTCTGAATGATCAACTAAAAATTATAAATATGTAGCATGTAGCCCTAGCAATAAATAACATTTACTGTACATCTATTTTAATATATGCTGAACAGGAAAGACAGGAGTATTTACATAACTAACCAAGGGGAGGTAACTACAACCATTTGCCTTTCAGCCAGTTTAAAGTTTAATGCTTGAAAAAAAAAATGGAAGAAATTGACATTTTAAATTTCTTCTCTAAAAATGTAATTCACTGACTGGTGAGTAAAATATATGAATGGTGTAAAAATAAATGCGTATTATGATAAATCATCAAAATAATTTCGATCATTACCTCATTGTCAAAGCTATTAAAAAAGATTTAATTTTAACAAAATACAAATGAATTAATAATATAAATGTAATTAAATATACTGGAAAGATTAATCTTAACAAAACCTTTTGTGACTGGATATAAAACAAACAACTGTCCGAGACAGACCAGTCCCACGTATGATGCTGATCACACAAATGAGATCATGGTACCAATCAATGCTTTAACAGCATGTTATATTTACTTTGTTTCATTTAAATTTAAGTAGAAATATAGCGAGCTTTTCAAGATATGTAGTAAGTCACTGTACATAATTTAGTAGAAAAATACATAATCCAGGGAAAAAACACTTTTAAGACTTACGTTAACATAAGATGCTAAAAACACTTTTTAAGACTTACGTTAACATAAGATGCTAAAAAAACTTTTTTAATTAACATTGCAACAGATACAACTGCGCAAAAGATCTAGTTCATGTATCTAACAGTTTTTTTCAAACAGTGTGTCATCAGATAAGGGACTACATTTCTCTAGCTCCGGAAAATTCACACAAGGAAACACCACAGGAGTTATCTGTTATAGGATATTTAAAACACAGCACATTATTATTAATTAAAAGTGATTTATTTTTAAAAATTATCTTCAAGAAAAGAATTTAATTATTCTGAAATAAAGAAATTATTTTTAGAAAAAGTGATAATTTGGAAATTAAAAGGCTCGCTTGAAACAAGTGATTTATTTCAAGTGACCAGTCTATTACATTCTAAAGTGACCAGTCTATTACATTCTAAAGTGACCAGTCTATTACATTCTAAAGTGACCAGTCTATTACATTCTAAAGTGACCAGTCTATTACATACGCTACAGCTAGTCTGATGCTGCCTGTCAAACATCACAACAAAAAATTATAATTTTATTAAACTTTCACCCAGTTCGACTACTCAACGTAGCATACACAAATCATAGACTGGCTATCTGCTCAAGTTCAGTCAAGATTAAAACATTGATTTCTCCCTGACCAGCATCTTTACATGACATATTTTTTATAGCATGAAATTTGAATAGCACAACAAACAACGCCTTGGACCCACAAGCAACAATCAACACTTTGCTAAAGATGCAAACTTTGGTAAAGGAAGAATCTGATATTAAAAATACAATTAGTTCACTTTTTTAAAAGTAGGTAATTCATTTACTGGTTTCAGCACAAACATAATTTTAAATGGCCACACATTGAACTAAGACCAGCAACAAAAATGAAACATATAATCAATCCAGATTAATTCTGTAATGGAATTTATAAATGTAATAAAAAAACTAAAAGAAACGTCGATTTTTGTTAGACCGCTTAAACAGACGTTTTAAAATGCATGATTAATTTTACATTTAGTCAAGTTTTAGAAAAAAAGAAATTCTGACATTCAAAGTTGATTTGATTTTTAAAAATATATCACATAATGCCAGCCAGTTAGTTGGAATGGATGCTCATGTCGTCAATTCCTTGGAATTAAAATATGACAGCCCTCAACAGAAAAATGCCTTTTGAAACAGGGTACCCTAATTGAATCTAAAAGCAAGACAATCTAGAGTATCAAACTCACACTAATCCCACAACACTAATCTACACTAAGAATAAGGGAAGCGAATGAGAAACGAATTTCATAGAATAAAAATTGGTAAATAGTAAACTAGATTTTAACTGCTAATAATAAATATTGTATTTGCAAACAATTATTCAACAAAAGAAATAGTTTTACTAAAATAGAATAGCAGCTTGCAAATGCTTCTTATTTTTTTGTATCCCAAAAAGACAAATATAACATTAGGAAGTTTTGTGAAAATAAATCAAAATAGGCTAGTCATCTTCTTCATCTGTGTATTCTTGAGGTAACTCAGGGTAGATGTGTGAGGGGGAGTAACGTCCCCTCTTGGCAGGAGGACTGGCAGCAGAGTCGAGGTCAGAGGTGGAAGGGGAGGATGGGGAGTCAGGTAGAGGAGATGAGGATGGTGAGATGGCCCTGGCCATTCTCAGGGAACTTTCCTGGAACCACTGACCCTGAAAATAATCAAGGTAAAAAAAAATTATTTTAAAATCTAAGACACTGGGAAAAACATTTCACCTTAGAAAAGTGAATGCTAATTCTTATTTTTAAAGATCCATTGTTATTTGAAATAGAGTGATAACTAAAATAAATTTAAAAGCTGATATTTTTTTAAAGTCGATGGAAATGAAATAAAAATTAAGCAATTTTAAAAACCAATCTTTACATTAGTTTATTCAAAAGTATTGGTTTAACTTGCTTTAACTTTAACACACAGCTAAAACGTTAGAGCGCTTAAAAATAATAAACATTTTCAGTTATTAACTGGCTACTAAGAGTGTACAAAATGTGGGACTACTAGACCTTGGGCCACTTAATGCAAGTACATTATTGAGCCACTAATTTATAAGCTACACTATTAATTAATTTTAAAAAATATCTCAGGTAAGCAGAGAGAAAAAAACAGCATACAGATGGTTACCTTTTACCAATAACAAAAGTTCCTACTAAACCATAAGCTGATTAAAATTAAAGCAGAAAAAAAAAGCTAATGGATGTATAAATTCAAATAAGACTTTCCAAAAAAAAAAAACTTCTATCCCTAAAATAAATTACATAAAAATAAATAAATGTGCAGCAGTTGACAGATTCTGTGTGCTTCCATTTTATTTTCTCCAAATAAAAAATGATAAACAATTTACTACAGTTGGGCTAGCAGCGTAGCTTACATACCCCAGTTTGTGTAATGGCCCTCACGTAATCCTGGCATTTTAGAACCTCTGATCTAAATGCACTAGACTTAACAGAGAAAAAAGGTGTGGTGAGTACCTACAACACCTGAAGCTTCTGATCTCACTGATACGTGTGAGGTGAGCTTCTAATGAGTTTGACTTCAGATGCAATAAACACACCAAAGATAAATACCATTTCAACAGAAAAATGCTGATAAGTAGAATGGGATAAGTGGACATGCAATAATATAGGTCTAGTTTTAAAGAAAATTGCTACAAAGTAATGTAGTACCAAAATAAAAACTATGAGAAATATGATAACTTTTGGATTTAAGCAACACTTTAAAATCACACTTTTCTTTGTAAAAATAGAAATATAAAAAAACTAAGTCAGTTACAAGAAAGCTATGTTGATATTTTAGAAAATGATTATAAACAAATGCAGATTGAAAAGCTGAATAGAAAACAATCCAAGCATAATACCAATGCTAGAGTTAGAAAATATCTGAAGTTACCACACCAGCAAGTTAAGATTTAAAAAGTCTAAATTTGACCGCACTAGACAGCTGAGATAAAATTTGAATACAGTGAAGAGGGGGGAAACAGAAAATTGTACAATGTTTTATAAACAACAAAATTTGACAACTATAATAAAGAAAAAAACAATTTGACAACATTTATTAATACACTTGATCACATTGAAGAAAAAAAATTTTCTCAACCACAAGGAAAATGTTAGCAAAAATTAAAACCTAAACTTGACCAGGATGTCAATGTAAAAAAAACTTTTTGAGCCAAGCTGTCACTGATTAACGGAGAAAAAAAAAAAAAAAAAAAAAACTAACGTGAGGACCTACCAGTTTACCATCTCGTCCAAACATCTCCACAAAGTTGCCAATCAACTCCTTGGACTTCTCCTCCCACTTGTGCAGCATCTCATTCCCTTTGCCCAGCTGGTCCTTCCACTTGTCCATCAGATCTTTGCCCTTGTCCTTCAGCTTGTTCTCCAGCTTCTCATAGTTGTCCTTCAACTTCAGACGTTTGGCCTGCAATACAGAGAAAAATCATTGCTTATATAAACATTTATTACATCAACTATTTCAATATTTATTACATCAACTATATCAATATTTATTAAATCAACTTTAAAAAATGCAGAAAAGTAACTTGCTTTGTTTTTTTTTAAATATCACATTATATTTTACATAAACATAAGTTGCCTGAAACTTTCAAAAATGTTTTCATGAAAACAAGCAAGTTTATTTTCTACTTGAGCAAAAACAAATGATTAAAAATGCAATTTTAAACTGCTAAAACTCAAGTTATGAAAATGGGTATAAAATGAAAACAAAAGGTTTTTTATTAGTAGTATTCTTAACAGATATAGCTGCAGAATATACAGTTTTGTGCCTCTCTAATAACAGGCGGTTATCCAAAGGATAACGCAGGATGTCTAGTATAATATAAAGTAACTCTTTTTGATTACTTGGAAAAATAATCAACACCCACAACTAACATTACAGAATAAAAACTTGAATGATGTTTTAAAAAAGGCACTATTGAAAATAATCCCGTTATTTGCTACCATCATTTCAGTGGTCCAAACTGGCAAAAATAAAGAAAATCTTCACTACAACCACCCTACCTTCATATAGCTGACGTTCAAATCCTTGTGGGAGTATCCTCTGGCCAGGTTTCTTCGGATGTACAAGTCATAATCCTTGATGATTCTAGTGATAACATCTGTGGTGGAGATACCCTCTGTTCTCTCTGTTGCTAGAAACCTTCAAATGTCATCAATTCAAAAACTCATTTCACTAACAATTTACAGCCTACTTTGCAAAGTCTTACTTAGGGGGAAAAAAACAACTAATTGAGGGTTCTAAATTTTAAAAAAATGTTTATTTAATTTTAAATTCTAGTTTAATTTTGAAACTAGTAAGGTTTCAATTTGAGAACATATATAATTAAATCTAGCTTTCCTTTAATTTCCATTAAATGCAACATTTTTTATTTACATGAAGGCTTAGTAATAATAATAATGTGGCTTAATTTGTTGTTTTTGTTAATCTTTCTGCTTAGTGTTAGATAATTATAAACTATCCATGGACTGTGAAAATTGCATGAGATGGACAATATAGACTAGAAAATTATAAACTTTAACCATGGACTGTGAAAATTGCATGAGATGGACAATATAGACTAGAAAATTATAAACTTTAACCATGGACTGTGAAAATTGCATGAGATGGACAATATAGACTAGAAAATTATAAACTTTAACCATGGACTGTGAAAATTGCATGAGATGGACAATATAGACTAGAAAATTATAAACTTTAACCATGGACTGTGAAAATTGCATGAGGTGGACAATATAGACTAGACAATTATAAACTTTAACCATGGACTGTGAAAATTGCATGAGATGGACAATATAGACTAGAAAATTATAAACTTTAACCATGGACTGTGAAAATTGCATGAGATGGACAATATAGACTAGATAATTATAAACTTTAACCATGGACTGTGAAAATTTCATGAGATGGACATTACAGACTAGAAAATTATAAACTTTAACCATGGACTGTGAAAATTGCATGAGATGGACAATATAGACTAGAAAATTATAAACTTTAACCATGGACTGTGAAAATTGCATGAGATGGACAATATAGAGTAGAAAATTATAAACTTTAATCATGGACTGTGAAAATTGCATGAGATGGACAATATAGACTAGACCCAAGCACTTTTTACGTGAGTACTCACATGCCTCGCTCTTTCACAAATTTATAGACATCATCAGCAGAGCCAGTTGTGTAAGGCAATTCATCATGGGCCACAAAGTCAATCTGATAGGATATTTATAACAGAGCATTCAAATTTATTAACAGGACATGTATTTTGATCAACAGGACATTTATTACAGAACATTTAAAGTTTATAGGACATTAAAGTTATAGGGCATTTATAGTATAAAAAACAATTTTAGCTACAGAAAATTTATAATTTTAGGGCATTTGTAGTTATAGAACATATTATGTTGAAATTTTTCTATGGATATAATCTGGATGTCAGTATTTTAAATCAAAAAATTTTCAATCCAAAATAAAATCTAAAGGGTTATTCTTCTACAATTATAATTTAACCATATTATATTGACAGAATTCTATTCTTAGCACTGACTACTCTGCAAAAAGATACACTACCAAAGAGAAAAAAATTTTGACGGGTGTTTTAGGGGTTGAAAACTTACTTTGTGTTTCTCCAAGAATGCCATGTCCAGTGTCCACGGAGCATCAGTGACTACCTCATCAACATAACGGCAGTGCCGGACAGCCTCGTAGCGTTCTGTGTCATTCATCACCGTTCTGCCCTTGTTCTTGAACGTCATTTCATCACTGCAAACTAAAAGTCACCCCTTCAGTTTTAGTACTGCATACAATACAGTTACTATTAGTATCAACTTATCACATTATATCACTTCTCATTACTACGAATGGCATGTATCACGTTCAATAGTATTATCACATTCACCATTTCCATAACCATATTACTACTGTATTCACTTAAAACTTTGGTACTATTTACACCAGCATAAAATATGTTCTGATTACTAGCCACTCTCTAGCAACACAACAAGTAGGAACCACAACCTTTTATAGTGTTCCAATAACATCTTTAAAAAACTAAAACAAACAAAATGATTCAATGTAACATTGAATATCATCATTATCTTGTCCTGTTTGTGCCCAAGACACATGGGACAGATGAAGTAGCGTTTGTTTCAATGACCCCCTCATACAAGGGGATAATATGGTCAGCACCATGCCCCAACGTCTTTGTTTCCCTAATGCGAGTTAGGTACCCATCAGAGCTGGGACATTCTACTGATTAGAACCCTGATTTGAACTCACACCTTTGAGGTTAGTAGTCTAGCACTCTAACCCCACACAGCCACATAACAATGAATAAAATTAGAGGTAAACTAAATTAACTAAATAAGAGTTTATGTTATCTGAGAATACAAAGCAATGTAAGTATAGGAAAGAAACTCACTTCCAACTATAAGGTAAGTGTGTGGAAATGCCATCTTAGCTTGCATGAGCTGTCGAGCGTGTCCTGTGTGAAACATGTCATAGATACCATCTGCATAGATCCTAACTGGTCGCGGTACTGAAATACAAAGAGAAAAAAAGTAAAGTTCACTTGTTTCTGTAACCTCGGCATATGAAGAGATAGTGTGGTCAGCGTTATGTCCAGCCGCTTTTACTTTCCCTAACGAGAGTTGGGTGGACTCAGAGACGCTCTACTGACTTGAACTTGGATTCGAACTCGAGACTTACAGGTTGAAATGCAAAGTGAAGAGGGATACTTAAATGACGAGGCAGTGATATAGTCATGATTTATTTACTTTTTACTTTCATGTCCTGTATATCAGTGTGGTGAGGGAGGAGGATGATGATTTATTATATATCTCTGTACACTGTAATGTGTATAGGGAGGATCAACCCTTCTATTGTGAATCCTGAACATAATTCACCAGTGGGGAATATTGTGTATAAATAACAGAAACAGTTCAAATGTCTGTTTATTAACATATAAACACTCCATCTATTCCTAATCCTTATTGTCTAACTCTACTATCCTACACTACACTTCTACTATCTCCTCTTGCAAACAATATCTATATTTCTAACACTAGACAAAAAAATTCCGTTAACTTTGA